AGACTGACTTCCTAAAGCACACGCTTCAAGCAGGGATGGCTCAAATACACGAGAAATGTGTGGGAGGGGGGGAGGCTCTCAAATGACCATGGGCAGCTTTCCCCACGGGAAAGTCATCGTTTTGGTGGTTTTCACTACTGGCCAACGAACAAGGGGTACCAACTCCAAAACGACCAATGTCCTCCAGCCCTGGCTTTAGGCCGAGGTGAGGTCACAGGTTCAGAATGGCAACAGCTTAGAGAGCTCGCGCGGCCCATTTCACCCACGTAGAGAAGGACTCCGAACCGGCGACGGTTTTTTCCCCAGTTTCACCGGGTCTTTGGAAGCTTTGGCTTGGTTTGCCTGCCAGGCGCGCTGGTTTTTGTGTGAATACTCGGCGAGTGGATTTCTCACGCCCAGGTCACCGTCGTGGTGAATGAGACCAAGGCTCGCACGGAATAGTCCAGGTCGGCCAAGTTGGCCAAGACGCCTGGATGTGGGCACAAAATAGTTGGTACCCCGCAAAATTTGAACCCTGGCAAGTGGAAACGTGGACCTGAAGTCCATATCCTGGCGCAAGAAAAGTTTTGACCATACCCACCTGCTTCCGGGTTCAACAAAGGGATCACCACTTGTTTGATTGGGTTTTTGAATGCAAGGATCCTTTGTACACTCACCCTTCCTTCAGTCCGAAGAAGCATGCCAGACAGGCACAAGGTTCACGTCTGCGGATACCCGAATCTCATTCGGGTGCAACTGTCAGCAGGTTTGTCTCAAAATAGGAACCGGATCGCGCCCAAAAAATGGTTTCCGGTGTGTTTATACTCCCCACAGATTAGCGTGGAACCCAACATGCACAATGTTTAGAGGAATCTCCGTCTGGGAGGTCCCCCTTTTTGTGTTCTTTCTTTGGGACACGCTTCACCCCAACCGCACATTTCTTAGAGGAATATACATGTATAAATATCTCTATACATTTTTTTTTTTTTTTGGTACCCCGCCCCCCATGAACCCTGGTTTGGCTGTGTTTATCTATCCCTCTGGGAGGTCCTGGTTGGGTTTTCGTTTTCGTTGGGCCGCGAATTCCGAGCGGAGCTTCTCAAGACGAGGCCACCAAGACCACGGTGCCTCCCAAGCCGGCAGCTCCGGCATGCGCTTTTCGCTCGAAGCCGGAAAAATCGGCGGGGCGGGAAGGGGGAGGGGGTATGTTATGTTTCTTGTTCCCCGTTTTTTTTCTTTGTATAAAAAACAATATATATATATATATATATATTGTTTTTTTCCCCAACAGCTGCAAGCTTTGGGGTCGATGAGCCCAGATAGGCGCTTTGGGGTGGTCCGGGGAAGGGCCCTGAGGTCAGGTTCCACCAGGGTTCCACCAGGGTTCCACCAGGGTTCCACTACATGCTGTTGGGGATATCACCTGAGCTTATTTTTCTTCCCCGATGTTTTGCTTAAGGCCAATATTGTAGTGTTGGGCTGGGATTACCCACCATAAAAACAAGGGACCGGTGAAAGAATGGTTTGTTTCCTTTCAGTTTCCCTTTACAGTCGCCATGCAGAGCAAATATCAACACGAATACTCTCCAATTTTCCCATGTTGACCGTGGCCATGGCGTGTCTGCTTTTGAGAGCAGACATTTGCGGTTGTTTAAAGGGCAACCAGAGGAAAGCCACTCACTTGCGGTGCTCTTTTTTTTCAAGCGAGGCTCTCTCTGGGGCTCACCTCCGGAAACCGGCGTGAAATGAGTTCCTGTTCAATCCAAGCGAATCAGGTTCCAGCCTGTGTATCCCATAGATACCTTTTCTACCACTTGGTCGGTTGAGTCATCCATGCCCGTGGAAAAGGAAGCCAACTGGGGTAACCTGGACCTGTTTGAGCTCCTTCGTTGTGATCACCCGCAGTCATGCTTGTTGTTGGGAAACATTTCACATGTTTGCTATTTGGTTCAGTGGTGGAAATCCAACCACTTAACTGCTACACCATAATTGTTGCTCCCCAAACCCAACGTCAACCAAGCATTTCGCGTGTCCAGTAAGAAAACAACACCTTAAGATTTGATGACAGCCGCGCCACACAAACCAGACGGCTTCGAAGTCGATGGTGCGGGCTCGGTACTCCGCGCCCACGGCGCCAACGGCGCCACTTCGGTACTCGGGGTTTCCCCGTGGTGTGAATCGCGACACCGCATCAGGAAGTCTCCATCGACGTCAACACCAAGGCCTGGCGCGTTGGCTTTGCGGACGGTGAAATTTCTGGCAGGTGATGGATTGGGAAGGGACCAATCAGCTTGGACATACTTCCATTTGCTGAAATGAATATGTGCTTCATTTTCCCTGGTTGGTTTTAAAAGGAACTTGTCACTGCTGGAAATATGTTTTTTCTTTCCAGGGGTCTTAGCCAAATGGAAGCATAGGACTCCCGGCCAGTTCTGCAAACAAGCTACCTGAGAAGCCCCCCCCTCTGTACCAAGTTGCCAAAGAAGGACAGTTCAACTGGAGCGATCAGAAAAGCGATCGCCAGGAGGTGGTTGTGAGCGACGTCACCGCGCCCCGGCTCAGTTCTCACGAGAGAGTGTGTAAGGGTCGCCCAGCCCCAAATCAAGATAACAGCCACCTGCCAAGATGTGGCTGTGGGTCAAAACCAATGGTGCCATTTTGGGGTAGGTGCACCACCCATTTTTGTCGGGATTGTAGTTGGGATTGGGATGTTCACTGGGGGTACGATTTGGATTTTGACCCATCGCCATGTGACAGCACGGCACTAGCCGTTTCAACCTCTTGAATCCTCTTGGTCTCCCCGCGTGCTTCCTGCGCTCTTTGTAGGAGACCACGACCACTCAGAAGGCGGGCCTTGCGGGCACGTTGCGGGCCGGGGCAACAAAGTTGCTGGCGAATCGCGTTCATGGTGCATTGTGATTGTTTCGTGGCTGTGGCTCAAAACTCGGTACCAAAAGGGAACCCTGGTAAGTGGAAACATGAACCCAAACCTGTGCAACCCTTCCTGTTCAATTTTGAGCCACACCCAAGTGACACTTTGGTGGCTTCATTGTCGTGATCAAAGCCATTAAGCTCATTAGCTAGTGCTTCTCGTTGCTTTCATTTGTTCTTGCGCTCTGACATGTCCCGCCCTCCCGCAAATGCAGTTTCACGGAAGTGAGGCGAATTCTTCCCTCCCGAGTGCACGGACTTCAAAACAAGCTTTTGGGGATTTGGTCGCCATTCTAGTGGCAACCGCAGCAAGTTCGGTGGCCTTTGGGAGGATTTGGTCGCACCATTTTAGTGGCAGAAAAGCAAGTTTCGTGGCGTTTTTTTTTCTGGCCCGTCCAGTGGATCAGACGGATTCGAGTTCCAGTCGTGAGCCCTTCGATAGGCGAAGAGCGGCTCCGGAAGAGCAGCGGCTCGGGATCCCATCGCTCGGATTCGTCGCATCGCGGAAACCGGAAAATGGATCGATGGATCGATGTCCGAAAGCCCGGGGCCCGGCCGGGAGGTGGGCAAGGGAGGTTCAATTCAGCTCGGTAGAGCTTAGAGTTTAGGAGCCGAATTGGGTATGGGTCAAAAGGGTAACCCCAAAATAGAACCCTGCTAAATGGAGAAACGAACCAAAACCTGCGGTCCAATTCCTGGTGGTTTAATTTTGACTACCCAATTGGTGGTTTGGTTCGGTGTTCCGGGGCTTTTCATCTTCTTGCCTTCAGGAGCCAGGGGCTCAAAACCAGCTCCAAATCACCAAGTTCGCTGATCAAACTGTAGAAATCCGACTTCAACATGTGTTTGCAAACGCTTGGAGTCGGTGAAAAGGCTTTCCGGTATCGCACAAGTTGCAATCTGTTCGTGGATTTGCATACAGCACAACAGAAGGATAATTCTCTAAACCGCTTTGTATACCAAGATAATAATTTCAAGTGACAAAGTAGTCATTGGTTATAAGCATGGCCCATTGTGGTATCAGGTAAACGTCATTTTCCAAGCGAATAATTTCAAGTCACAAAATAGTCAAACGTCATACGCATGGTTCATTGTGGTATCACTGAAGCAACTTTTTTCCAAAGTGCTTTCTATACCAAGTAAATATCTTCAATTGACAAAGTAGTCATACGTGAGCATGGTGGTCATAATGCCCATTGTGGTATTTCATAGAAGTTGTTGCTCAGAACCATGGGCATGGCCAGGATCTTGCGACTTGGCGATTCCAGGTCTCCGTCATCCTGGCTTTGGGCCTTTGGTGCCTGAACTAAGCCTCCGGAGGAAAGACAAAGACCTCGGCCCGTGCGCGCGAGAGATAAAGCGCAAGAGACAGCGCGAGGGAAGCGCGAGGGAAGTGGATGGGGAAGTTGGGTCGGCTTTTGGAAGGTCCTGCGTGTGTGTTTGTTTGAGGGTACCCGATTTTGGTGGACGTTAAAGGGAAGCCAAGAGCCCAAGAGGACAACTGTATTTTTGCGCGGTAACCCAATTTTGACACTTACTCAAATCCAGGCGCAACGCTTCATGCACAAAGCTTTGCAAACAGGCTTTCGTAGTTGGTGACAAAGAACCATGGAGGGAATGGCCGCAGCAAGACCGGCCAGCATCACGTGGTCATGGCCGCTAAAACCCACAGTTTGGTTGCCCCCCCAATTGGCAAAGTCTGCGAGTCTTGAGCAATGTCAGCTCACCGACGGATCTGCAGGTCTTTCCGGAGCCCATAGAAAGCTCCCCCAGTGGAAAAAGCACGGACCATTGGCTGGGCGTACGCGGTTCATCAGGCTGACCCCCTGCGAATCCCCCCACCACAAAGCATCTTTACGATATTGCTACCGTGGATGAAGGAACTCCGTTCGCACCGCCGAAGAAACCGTGGGGTTAAAACCAGAACCTTTGATATTTACGTGGGTGAAATCGTCTGAGACCAGGGGGTTTCCTCACTTCCTGAGTTCATGAACTTTAAACTTTTTGGGAAGACCATTTTAGTGGTAAACAAAAAGTTTGGACATTTTTTGGGCCATCCACTCAGCCAGTGAGTTTCTGAAACTTTGCAGGTGACCCTGCTGCAGAGCCTGAACAACGCTTCGCCTCTGCTGAAGCAGAAGTACGAGAAGGCGGGGTGAGTAGAGGACACCCTTTGGGGACTTTTCAAAGAGGACGCCCTTTTTTAAATGGCTGTGGCTCAAAATTCAACAGGAGGGGCAAACCGCAGGTGTTGGTCCATGTTTCCACTTACCAGGGCAAGCCATTTTGGTACCGTTTTTTTTGAGCCACAGCCAAATGGAGACCAACATGAAACGCCCACCTAAAAAAAGGGGAGCCGAACATTTATTGTGTGAGAACCAGCCTTGTTCCCTGTGCCTGGCTCCTGCGCCGGCCAGGTGGGTCAATACTTCAGAAACTGCATGCAGGACCCGGCCAGCCTGGCTTGTGTGGGTCAAAGGTTTGCGCGTCTGGTTACTGCCATTTGCTTGAGAATATGTGTTGTCTTCTGTTGGCTTTCAAGGGAAACTATGACGATTGGACATATCTTCTCGCTTTTTCCCGGGAACAGGGCCAATGGAGGCTTCAGATCCTGCGGCAGATCTGATTTACGCGCGCTATATGCGCGCTTTCTGAGCCTCGCTTTGCGGGTATGAGGTTTGCAGTGTGCGCGGGGCCCCGAACGTGGAACCTGACGGTAAAAAGGGGGGACAAAGCCTTGCGCACCGTTGTCCTGGTAAAGGGACCCCAAAAGTCAGGTTTCATGTTAGGTTGGGGGGGGGGGGGGGGTACCCTTTTTGGGGTTGGTTTGAGGGGAAAACGAAAGGACACGAACCGATTTTGCGGGGTGACGTGAGAAGATTTGTTGATGGCAGCTTTACGCGGACCGATGGGAGGGTACGGCAAGACCCCAAAATGGTGGCATTCCTTTTGGGTTTCCTTTAGGGCACACTCAAAAAACACACACACCCACACACACCCACACACCCATACACACACAACCATAGCCAAAGGGCAGCTTTTTCCAACTCAGGACGCCCATGTCATACACTGATTCAAAGAGCCAACTCCTGAGGGGGATCCTTGCGGCTGGGGAGGCCTGCGAGGCTCTGAGTCAACATGATCTTCGTGGGGCGAAGTTGGTACCCTTTGGGCTGGTTTCAAGGGAACGCCAAAAGACAAGCAAAGGGACAAGTGGAACCTTCCAATCATTCACTACTTTCATGACTAAGTTTGGATTTGGACGTACCCCACAACCCCATTCTGAAAAGCAATTGCGCCTTCTCTTGTATTGGAGCATTCCCACAAATAGCCGTGAGGAGGTTTTTTTCGAGGGTACCCTTTTTCAGTTTGGCTTTTTTGTGGACGCCGTTTTGTCGCACCGAAGCCATTTGAGGGGACCGCTACATTTTGACAACCCGAATGTCCGAGGCCGTGGGGTTTGGGGGTCACTGTGGTCACGACATGTTGAAACAACTTCCAAATGGCTGTGGTGGTCAAAACCGTGAAAAACGAGATCCCAATTTGGTTGGGATTGGTGAATTCACCACCCATGTTAGAACCTATAGTGGTTGGATTGGGATGTTCACTGGGGGTACGATTTGGATTTTGACCCATGGCCAAATTCTTTTGAACCATTGTTCGTTCCAAAAACCAGCTGTTTCCCTCGGTTTTTGATGGTTTCCTAAAAATAAATTCGGATCCCTAAGAATGGAAATGGAAGGTAGCCCTAGAATGACGGTAGACACCTCCTTCTGGTATCTTTTTGCTGAGGCAACCCACCAAAAGAAAAAAAAAAACAACAATGTCGATTCCAAGCCTCGCTGCCAGGTCAAAGTCACGGACCTCGCCGCCGCAGAGCTGAGAAAAAAGATCGCGTCGTTCTTGGGAGGGGGCGTCGTTTCCCTTCGCCCTCAGCGTGGCGGTTCAACCAGCCAATCGTCCGGTTCAACTTTGGTTTTGAAAGGCGGTTGGGTTTCCGAATCAACTTTTAGCAGGGGATCTGAGAACAACCCAGTAAAAGGGGTTTCCAAATAACAAAAAGTCATGCCCAAATTATGTTTAGGGATGATGAGCAGATAGCAAGCAGTGGTAAACCACTAGCAGAGGAATACGTGTAGGTTGCTAGCAGAGGAATACGCACCCTTGCAACGCCATGCAAGCCCTCTGGTTTGCTACGAATGCAACATCATCTCAACAAGACGTTCTTTGAGGGATGTCTTGAAATAGGGTTGCTTTTTGCCCTTGTGATTTTTTCACTGAGCAAAAGCCCGTTTCATGCTATCCCAAATCATCCTTCAACCCAACTATTGCCCAACCTTGACATTCTCCAACCCACAAATGCAGGAATTTGTCCATCAGAACGGATCGCTGTGAACATCAAGCTGTTTGATTGCCAAGTTCACCCACAGAAAACCTTGAGAAACTTTTAGAAGCCGCATAGACATCCCTTCAAATGTGGTCTTCTCACAGCTGTCCAAGGATACGTAAATGCCACAAACATGTCCAATGCGACCATAGGTGTCCTTTCGGTTGTTTCTTGAAAATAGATGGCGATTCCTGGCTGTCCTGGCTGTTTCATCATCCTCCAGAGCCATCGATTTTCCGGAAAAGGACACCTACCTAAAACTGTGACCCTCTTGGACACGTACATGGCTGTGGCTCAAATTCAAGAGCTAGGGCAAGCTGCAGGTTTTAGTCTTTGGTTCCATCTATTTGGCTGTGGGTCAAAAATTGGGCAACCCCAAATGGCTTGCCCTGGTAAGTGGAAACATGGACCAACAGCTGCGGTCCAATTCCTGTTGGTTTATTTTTGACCCACACCCATTTCGCACCACCGTTCAGAAACCCCGGGTTTCTGATGATTTCCCCCCCGTAAATACTAACAAAGATTCTGGTTCAATCCCATGGTTTCTTAGGTGTGAACAGATTTGGTCCGGCCACGGTAGCAATACCTGTATAGATGCTTTGTGGGGGGGGGATTGGAATGGCAGGGGGTCCGCAGCCCGACTTCTCCCTGAGTTGGAGCCCTTACCATAGACCCAATGGTCCTCGCTGAAAGCTGGGGAGCTTTCCATGGGCCTGATGCGTTACGATAATGCGCTGGCCATTTATTTCAGCCGCCGCCTCCCGCGTGTCGGATCTGTCGCGGTTTTTCAGTTCAGCCTTAAAGACCCAGGCGGGTCTTTCCACCGCCGAGCGCGGGGAGCTGCAGGCGTTGGGCGTTTGCAGTGGGCTTCACCAGCGGGGTGTGGGGTTGTTCATCTAGGTGCCCCAGCTCGGTGCCCTTTGCAGGGCCAGTTTTTTCTTAAGGATGTTTTTGTTTTTCCGAGGTGGGGGGCTTTTCGGCTTTTTGGCTTTAAGTCTACCTTGGCTAGGTCCACCCAGCTAGGTGCCTTTTTTTAAACCCAACTTTTTTGGGGGGAGGATTGTTTTTCTCACTAAAATAGTTTCTACAGAAAAAAGTTGGTACCAACTTATTCTAACCTCTCAAATCTGGAGGACCTAGTAAAGGAACACCAAAAGGACGCCTTCCATGAAATGGGGTCCAACAGCGTTTTTTTGAGACACCCTCACATGGTGCAAAGCAAACAAGTGGAGACCTTCTGGCTCCTGAACAACTGGCAAGGGATATAAGGGGGAGGCGTGCAGCATGCTGAATCCTTCACATGTAAGAGGATGGCATTGCAACAGCTGCCATAGCTGGCACTCGGGATCCTCTTTGGCTACTTTGTTGCGTTTGGAGCCGAGGCATCTGAACATAGGGCTTTGTTGGGACTGCATGTTTTTTGCCGTTGTCGAACTGCCTAAAGATCGCAAGTGTTCTCATGGAAAGGACAGGCGGCTAAGACAAAGACAAGAGCCTCATGGAGAGGAATCCTGCCTGATCGGGCGAAACATGGGCGTGTGATTGTTATTTGAGTTCAAATTGGGGGCATGCAGAAAAAGGTATCCCTCTAGGTTTTTAGGGCTTAGTGGTTGGGTTTCCATTTGACCCACCAGTTCGCAGGGGATCAGAAAACGGCCATTTGGTGGACAGTCCCCAGCTTGTCCCTTGCGGGTGCCCGATTTTGCAGCTCACCTGGCCCGCTCTGGCGCTGAGCTGCTCCGCCACAGAGGCTTTCAAGTGTCTTCCTCCAAGCAGAACGGAACTTGCTCCCAAAGGCGCCATGGGGCCTGATGTGACAGGGGGTTCCTAGAAGAGGAAAGTTATCTTCCAGGTACCCTCTTACGGGGGCTATGGTGGGGAGGAGGGGAGGTGTTGCTTGGATCCTGGTAGCTTTGATTGGCCTCTGTCAGAGGCACGCCTTGCGCTTCCTGCGTGCCGGCGTTCTGCTAGACGACCGCTTGGGGCTTTGGTCATGTCTCGTGATTTTCACCATGTGGCTGTGGGTCAAAACCCAAGGGATCCCATCCCATTTTGGTCTATTTTAGTGGGGATTGATACCATTTTGGTTGGGATTGGTGAATTCACCACCCCATTTTAGTCGGGGTTTTAGTGGCTGGATTGGTTGCTGCTCCTGGAATTTCGGATTTCGGATTTATGACCCATGGCCATGTGGCTTTCCGGAGTCCTCCAGGAGGCGCGAAGATCTATGTGCTGATCCGTCTGGTTTTGGCTTTTTTTAGTTGGGAATCCATCCAACTTCTCCTTTTCTTGTTTCTCTCTTTGTCTCCTCACTCGGGAATTCGCCCCACTTCTCCTTTTCTTGTCGCTTAAGGGCGTTGTCCTAGCGCATCTTCCGGTCCAAGTGGGCTTGAAGGCGCGGGGTTTGCCTCGTGCCCGGTGAGGCGGTCCTCCAGGAGCAGGACATTCGGGAGAAGATTAAGAAGGCGGCTGTTTGTTCGAACAGCGAGTTGAGCGGTTCTCAAGAGACGTATATGTGTATATATATATATATACACATCATTCTGGAATGACACTTTAAGCTGAAGTAGGGGCTGTTGTTGTGGTTTCTTTGACCAATTCTTAGTGGTTTGGAGTTTGGATTTCGGGCTGGTGGTTTTAGACCGAGCGAAACAGGTTCCTAAGGGACTCATGACCATGGCCCACACAAGCAGTTAAGAAGGGCCCCATCGTTGAACCGTTTTCACCGAAAGTCAAATCGAAATTTCGGGATGGTGTTTGAAGGGAAGTCTGAAGGAGACACCACTTTTCGGGGTCCCCCAATGTTAGGAGGACCATGCAAAGGTTCATTCCCATCATTCCCATCTTGGATTGTGAGCCAAAAGTGGTAGATGTTTCAAGGGAAACCAAAAGGAAGCACACTAGAATTGTCACAATAAAGAGGTCTCCTATTTTGAGACCACGTAAATGATGATATCCATAGCCATTCCATCATTTTCAGCTCCAAATTATATTTTTGAGAACGACCCAAATGTTTGCGTGTTAAGACCACATTTGTTGAAGCATTGGCAAGCACTACCTTGCATATTAGTTGTGGTTATGGTTTTGGTCTCCTTGAGCCATAGACTTGCCCCACATAGAACTATTCCAAGATGGTATGTACATGTAAAAATAGTGGCTAGTGGCTGTATATCCCAAAATCACTGAACACTAGATGAAACCAACAGGTGTGTCTTAAAAATAAGAGCTCCCCCCCACCTTCGAAGGAAAACGTAAGTATGTTTGTTTTCGTTTACGGCACCCACAAACGGTACCCTCAAAAAAGATAAGCCTAGGTGGTATCCCCAGAACCCTTCCGGAACCCTTCCTCAACCCTTCCGCCTTGGAGCCTTTTATGGCAGAACGGGAACACACATATCTCCATCTGTGTGTGTCTTTAAAAGTCGTTTGACAAAGGGGAACCAATGGGAACCCCCACCCTTTATTTTTTTGACAAGAGCTCTCAGGTGTTGGGAAACAAAAAGAGCAAAAGACTCAAGACTAATACTTACTCTGGCCTGTTGAGTTGGCAAGCTTCACACATTTTTGGTAGGTGTCTTCATTTTTTGTTGGGCCAGTCGACTCAGGTCGGCGGAGTCTTGGTGGCTCCCAGCCATCCGCTGCAACTTAGGCTTTTCGTCTTTTTCAGGTTGCTTTGGTTGGGTCCCCATTGAACCCACAAGTCAAGCTCAGTTTTAGCGCATCAGAACCCGGGCTTCGCAAGGTCACCCATCTCCTGGAGCGCGATCTGAACACCGCGAAGCTGCAGTCGGAGGTGAAGAGCCTGGGGCCTCGGGGCCTCCGGGGCCTGGCAGCTTCCGGAGGTAAGACATGCGGTAAGATGGGCTCCACTGGTTTAGAGCGGTCTTATTCCAGCAGCTCACTGCCTGAGTTCATGAACTTTAAACTTTTTTGGGAAGACCAATTTAGTGGTATATATAAAGTTTGTTTTTTTTGGGCCATCCACTCAGCCAGTGAGCCAGCTTGGAGGGCTATTGTACCCAAGGTAGGTGGGTAAGCCTGGTGAGACAACCCACTGAAGGGACACAAACATAATCATGAATCGCTTTTGTGGGTTATCGCCAGGCGTTTGTGGGTTGTCACCAGGCGTACGAATTACTTACTATGGACAATGCTCCTTTAAGAAGGGAAGGGACTCTTTATGACTACTCACTGCTTGAGTTCTGTTTCGGACAAGTGTTTCACATTTTGAGAATTTGGACAAGTTGGTGGTAAACAAACAGTTCGGCGACTTGTTCTGGCCAATCCACTCAGGAAGTGAATTATAACCAAAGTATATTGTTCTGATTTCTGCTTATGAGTTGTATGTTTTGAACAAATGCTTGGCAACAAATTGTTGTAACTATCCATGATACTGTGGATTGACTATTTTTTGCGCCACCTTGAAACCATTGTTTGTTGGTATTTACAGGGAATCATCAGAAACCAGGCTTTCTTGGGTGGTGAGAAATAGAGTTTGTCCATCCACAGTATTGCTTTTCCCTCATGGGAGCTAGGCTTGGTTGTTGAAACCCGAGTTGGGCAGGAGAATCCTGTACGCGTCTTTTTTGGAGTTGGTAGTACCCTGAAAAAGACACCAAGTAGGTGAAGGTGTCACAAGTTGGCCACAACAGAGGCGAGCAAGTGGGGTTTTCTGGTGGGTAAACCTACCCAGATCAACCACTCGCAACTTGGATTTCCAAGGCAGGGCGTGGCTCAGATTTATCAGGCTGCTTTCCAGGTTTAATTCTGATCCTGGACACACTAGCTGCGCAGTACCCAGCGCTGTGCAAAGTCACTCGCATCTCTTCAACGATTTGGGCTGGGACAATATCTCGAACTTTAGGACCTGGTTCTCTCTGGTGTCCCTTGGTGGTTTGGATTGGTTTGGAGATTTGAACAACTGGTTCTTGTGAAACTACTCTTAGCGGCTCGAAACCACCAAACAAGGAGCTGCTTCTCTTCAACAAAGCTGCCATTTTAAAAGGGCTCCTGAAGTCTACGACCCCCCCTATCCACAAAGCTCTTTGAAACAGATCCCGAGTTCCAGGACATGGCCATTGAACAAATCAAGGGAAATTTTCCAATTTCTACTGCTTGCCTCTCCTCGTCCTCGGGGTTCCACTCGCCCCATCCTTCCGCGCGCTGAAATCCAATGTGTACTATTTCCCCCTTGTCTCAACATTGGCATCGATTTCTCTCTTGGCCCCCCCCCCAGTTTTTTCCAGGGCAAAGACCGGCATTGCGGCTTGCCTAACGACCCCCAGAGAAAAAAACAACATCCCATCCTCGGGTTCCCTTTCTTCGGGGAGCCCCAAAACCGTTTTTTTTCTCTCCTGCCCGGACATTCGCACGTGGCCGTGGAGGCGCCACCCCGATTCCATCGATCGAAGGCGACTTGGAGGAGCGGGTGGCGAAGGAGCAGAAGCGCGAAGTGCTCATGGCCCGGCACCCGGACGGTCGTGGCTCGTTTCCATTTTTGGAGTCTGTTCCCTGTTGGATGAAATGGACCGCATGTGTAACTTGGGTCCCCCCCTCATGTTTGTTTCACATATCCTTGTTTTTCTTCGCGGATGGGTTACCCTCCTTTTTGCAACCATGGACATGTCAGGTGCTTGTTTTTGATGGCTGCCTAAAGGCAAATCGAAAAGCCAAGGCAGCTCCACGTCGCCCGTCGCTTTTTCTTGTTTTTGACCCGAGTTTGACGCAGACGCAGCGCCGACTTCCGCCAGACTGGACCTGGGACGAGCTGAGGAACAGATGCGGCAGATCCAAAAGGAGCTGGGCATCGAGAAGGACGGAGTCGCTCGCAGTCCGGCGCTTTGCCAATGGATGTGACGTGGTTGTCAAAACCGATGGTACCATTTTGGGCCGAAAGACACGGGCCGAAAGACCAGCGGCTCTGGGGGCTCATTTGGCTGTGGTTCAAAACCAATGGGATCCCATTTTGGGGTAGGTGCACCACCCATTTTCAGGGTTTACTTTAGTGGGGATTGGGATGTTCACTGGGGGTACCATTTGGATTTTGACCCATGGCCAAGTGACCGTGGCTGTCCCAATGTTCGAGGCAAGCCCTTGTTCTAAAAGGGCTGGGCGTGTCTCAAGATTGGTCTGCATCCCTGGCTTGTCTTTGGTCGGATTGCAAATGAGCAGGAATTGGTTGTCCATGTCACAACAAAACAAGGGATCGCAAAACAGTTCAAAGGTTTTTCACATCTGAAGTCTTTTCCAGCATCTCTTCTCAAGGTTCCCACTGAGAAACTCAGGTTGGTGGTTTGAACCTCTGGTTCTTGTAGGAGGTAAATGGGACACCACTGACACCACCCCCCAACCACCAACGGGCTCAAACCGTCAACCAGGGAGGGAGGCTGAGAAACGTAGGATGAGAAGCAGACCTTGACGACGCAGTTCCGCGACTCGCTGAAAGACAAGGCGCCGGGCCGGGGTCATGCGCGGCCGGGTGATGGTGGTTCAACCAGACATAACCTCCCTCCCACTAACGTAGCACTGGGAAGATCATTTTCCTCGTGTAGGGACCCCTGTAAGGTGCTATTTTAGTGGGAGTGAGGGTACTTCTGCCGAGTTGGCAAGCTTCACACTTTTGGTAGACACGTCTCCATGGGACAACAAATCCACGTTTTTTGGGCTAGTCAGCGAATTCTTGGTGGCTCCCAGCCAGTTCTGTAGGCTTTTTAGTTGATTTTAATTGGTTTGGTGATTGGGTGTCCGTTTAACCCGCAAGTTAAGCTGTTTGCAGGGGATCCGAAAACGGACAGCTCAGTTTGCAGAGTGCGCAGAAGGAACTGCTCTCACAAGCTGATGGTCAGTGCCAGACTTTGTTTTTAAACGCTTTTCAATCACTTTTGCAACTTTGGGATTTTTTCTCTCAACCAGTGAACCGTTTTCTCACTTTTTTGCGTTTGGGTCCAAGTTTGGCCCCAAGACTGTGAAGCGCGCTTGCTTGCCGCACCGTGTACACACGACTGGTAATGGACTCTGTGGTGCATTGCCCCCCAGCCAACGGCTTCTTGAAAGCAAGCAGGCATCCAATTCCTCTGGATCCAGCCGCTCATGTCGTAAAGCACAAAGATCGTCCGGGTTTTGGGCATGAACCGGGGATTCCCTAGGAGCCCAAATCGGATGTTTCATTCCATTTCTCATTCCCTGCCTAGTGAGACTTTGGACTGAGCTCCGGTTAGGTGGTGCCTGAGGAAGTGCAGAAGGCGCGGGGGTGTTCGTCTTTTGGTTCGTCTCTTGGGATCCGAAAAACGCGAGTTGAATTCGCGCGGTTCAGCAACCCGACCAAGAGAGGACCCTCATATTTTGCATTTTGGTGATTTCCATCTAAAGCGCACACATTTTGCATTGCATAGATTCAGTTATGGCCTCCAATGGAACTGGTGGAGGATGGGGCAAGGCGTTTTGGATGGTTCCCAATGGAAAACCAAAAGACACCTCCCATGAAAAGTGCCGAATTCATGAGAAGCATACACGTTATTCTAGAAAATATGAAGCAAATCGATTCCTGTTTCTTGGGAAAAGGCGCTTTTTTGCTGATTGTATAAAACAATAATATTTATCAATTTGTTTATTTATGTTTTCAATATGTACATATATATGTATATATATATATATGTCCAATAGGCTTTGACAGAGTACGCATGGCGATCAGGCTCGAAGAAACCTGTCGCGACTACCAGGTTGAGGGTGAGCAACTATTTGGAACCAGCATGTTAGCTTGAGCCGCGATGAAGGGTGGTAAGGGCTAATCCCTTTGCCATAAATGGGTGCGGGAACTCGGCTTTTGTCTGAGGTAGACCATTTCAATGCCGTTGATTCTGCCCAGGACTCGTAGAATTTTACGTTTTCGGAGGCAGTTTCCGGTTCGCCTCCGGTTCGCCAGTTCTTGGGTCACGAGTTGAAGCCCGGTGAAAGCAGATGCCGCCTGTGCATCTACAACTCACCCTACTCCAAGCCAAAGACGTGGTCAAAAGTTGTGGGACCCCCACAACAGTTGCGGGTTTTCCTGGCGGTGTTTTCCGACTTGAACCGCCCGAAAACGGTACGGGCCTACAAGACACAGACCCACCGTCCGAAAAATCTCCGGGGAGGTCATCGAGACGGAAATCTCCAAGCTCAACTCTTTGGAGCCTTCCTCCACGGAGTTCAACGTCTGCCCGGTTGCCCAGTGGGCGCCGGGTCCGCATCGCCGAGGCCGAAGGGACACTTCCAGCGCTTTTGAAGAAGGAATAGGAAAACCACAAGCACAGCGTTCGGGTGTAGCAGGAAAGGCGCAACTTTGTGGGCACATACCTATATGGCGGTGGGTCAAAACCAATGGTACCAGGCTATATGTATGTTCTACTTTGGCGAATTTGAGAACATGGAGCCGATCGAGTGAGCCACACGCCGGTAGCCAGGCAGTTTTGGTTTTGCTTGGATCCTATCCTGCCGACTTTGGGCCCTTTCACAACCCCCAATTTGGGACGAGCACTTGTTTGGACGGTTGGTTTGTGGCTTCTTGCGCCATTTTCGAGCGATCCGTTTCGGAGCATGGGGGTATCCAAATTCCTCTTTCAAGAGGGGGCTAAGGAGATACTTCAAAAGTTCAGTAAGGGCCATGGCAGTGTTCCCTGAACCCACACGGGCCCAAAAGCGTCTGATGCCGAGACCTTCGGACCTTCCCTTTTGGTGGAAAACGAGGCCGGACCTACCTGGAATGGCTCACCTGCCTGCCTTGGGGCCCGGGACTTATGGCGCTTGCAGACTCTGCGCGCGAAGGCAGCGAGTGAGTGACTTTCTGGATCAAAGGACTGATGTCACTCGGTTTCCAGCTGTCTCCTTGGTCTTTAGTTGGTTTTGGTGGGGTTTCCATTTAACCTACCAAAAGTTCAACTTGGGTTTATGTCTGGTATGGGTCCAAATTAAACCACCCGGATGTGGACCGCAGTTTCTAGTCCGTGCTTCCATTTACCGGGCGATACTCTATTTTTGACCACCACAGCCATTTGGAGCAAAGGAGAGGACTGAATGCACCAAGCAGGCAAATGAGAAACAGGAGCGAGAAGTCAACCCAAGCCCCACGCGGCGCCAACACCCCAACCGCCGGTCGCCGCGTCGCGTGCATGAAGCTCTGCTCGGGGCGGAAGCTCTTCATGAAGAGGCCAGGTGGATAGGTCCCAGGGTTTGGCAAGATGAGGCAAGTTCACGGGGGAGAACCGGGACATCAACAAGGCGGAGTCGATGCTGGAGGAGGACGGTTGGAAGATCAGCTTGGATTTTTTCTTTTTCGTGGTCTGGTACTTGAGGGGAGGCGGTGTTGTCCAGTCAAGCTACAAACTTGCATAGAAGTGTTTGGCAAGAAGTCAAATCAGAAGATCCGCAGCCTCATTAGCCACTTGTGCACTTGTCAGGTGTCTGAAATTGTCCCAGGAGGGAGTTTCGTTACTATAGACCCACCCAATGGCCCTTGCTTATGTTTCTTCCCTTTGGTTCGACTCTGAATTCATGGCTGAATATGGCCCTCTAGTCATGTCCCAGCGAGTGAGCGCATCGCCAGCCGTGCAAGCAGAGAATGTCGAGCAGGACTCATTGAACCTATCTTGACATCCGAGTTTTGAGGGCCTTGAAGCTCCCAATTCACTTTGAAGAGTTTTCAGGGTGTGGGGTGGGGGGGAACACTGGTTTCTTTTAAACATTGGCTCAAGATTCGACACGGAGTCCACTTTGGATATCCCCGCAAGGAGCCATCCCGGCCATCTGTTGGACCACTGTCAAAACTATTTGACTCCCTCCCAGATTCATACACATCTTCGGGTTGGGCGAAGCCAAGGCAGACTGTCCCCATCTCGTTGAGCCCAGAAAAAAAACTACCAAAAACCGGGCGCGCCGGGCGCATCACGGGACGGCAGGACCACTACGGCCTTGAAGATGTGAAGGAGAGGATCCTGGAGCACATTGCCGTGAGCTTCCTCAAGGCCGTCTCGCGCGAAAAGCTGGAGTTGTCTTGTGAGTGAGCCGATTTCGTGGGGGACTCACTTTCCAGAGGAACCTCCGCTTTCCAGGTCGTGCACTGGGGCACTGGGGTGTGAGGGGATGTCGGAGGCAACAAGTTTTTTTTTTCTTCAGCGGTTTGTAGTTGGTGAAATGTACTTATATATACAATATATACATATATATATACACACACACGGAAAGGTGGTGTTTCTAGGTTGGTTTAGTTGTTTTTCGTGGTTTTTCATTGGGGAGGCCGGGATTCCATATAACCCCCAAGTTAAGCTCACTTTTTGCAGATCAGAAAACGGGATTTTCTGACAGGCCAGTGAAGGCAAGCCAAAAGGCCTCTCGACACCGTTTGCGCCTTTTGTTTTGGCGGCTCGTGCTTTCTTTTTTTGGAGGGCTCCCGTGTTAGGGTTACAAATCTAGGGGCTGATTCCTTTTCCATGCTTTTCAGCCATGGCTCTTTCCAAAAACCGGAGCCGTTTTCCCGGGGTTTCCGGAGGTTTTCCGGAAAGATCCGGATCCCACGGAAAGAATGGCAATGGAAGGTACCCCTAGAACCAAAAGGGAAGCCAACAGGAAAGCCGCGAAAATCGTGGGGTCCATGTAAAATCGCCTTTTTTTTTGGTGAAAACTAGTGCTTCCGTTTTGGGCAAAGTCGTGGGCCGATTTTTTTTTTTTGGCATCCAACCTAAGGAGTGGCTCCGTGGCTCGGGCCGCGAGCGAGGGGCCGCTGGGTCGCTCCGCTCGCCAGGATTCCTCGCAGGGCAAGATCATGTGCCGTGGGCTTGGGAGGGAACTGTTTCAAGCGGAAGGGAAGGGAAAGGAGTTTAGTGTTTTTTTTTTTTTTTAGTAAATATATGTGTATATATATATGTACATATATGTACATATACACATAATATATATATATATATATACATATGAAAAAGTAGAAAGGTAGGGGGGGGGGGGGTGACCATATATATATATATATATATATGTGGAGCTTCTGATCTTTTTTCCCCCTATTATACATATACATATATATATATACATATATATATATATGTATATGTGGAGCTTCTGATCAACCCCCAGTTGGATATGCGAAGGTGATATCTTTATGACTATTTGGTCACGGATCTTTGGACACTTTAACTGGTTGGTTGAAACTTTGTGGATTTTCCGTATTGGGCCCGGGAAAAGTTATTCACTTTTTGCTGGGGGGTTCGTTGCAACAACCAAGGAAAGGCAGGTTTCGGGATCCCAGAAAGAAGGGATAGGAGAAGAAAGGAAGTTGCCGGCACCTCTGCAGTCATCGCTAGAAAGAATGAAGCCAGGTCAGGGTCCCCTGCATTTTCAAGGGGATGGTTTTGCCCTTGTTTTATCTATCTCGACTTGATGCAAGGCGGGAGAAGAACGCACCCGGCATGGACAAGTCGATGTTTTCAAATTGGAGAAAGAGGCTGATGTGACACTCCTGAATGCTAAAAAACAAGTCTTCCCATTTGGAGAGATTTAGCTTGATTTACAGAATGCCACAAACGGTGCATGTGGCCCCCGTTGTGCATTGCTATGATTATGCCAAACGGCATGACACATGTACTGTGAAAGACAGATGTACTGTTCCACGTATGCATAAACATCGTCATTCTCACCACACATCGAGTACCGGATGGGAGGGCTGCCAGGTACATTGACCAGGGGCGAAAAGAGCCCAGAGGGGGGAGGTGGCCCAAACAAGGCCCTCAAGGCTTAATCCCTAGCCCCCATCCCATCCACGCGCGCGACGCAAGCCGTCGCCGGAGAAACTCCTCGGCTCGGCTCGGATCGGATTCCGAGGCCTGGTGGGCCCCCCGGGGGTGGGGAAGACCTCGGTGGGCAAAAGCGTGGCGCGGGCGCTGGGCCGCAAGCCCGGCGCCCCGGGAAGGCGACCGGCGGCGCCCGAAGCTGGGCGCGCGCCCAAAGCGGGGGCCCCCCAAGCGCCGGGGGGTTGGAGGGGAGTAAAGACACCAAAAGGCTGGAGTTGTGCTTGTTTTTGAGGTTGGGACATCTTTCTTTTGGTCGGGGGTGGAAAGGGAAGCCACCAAGAACACCTTTTTGGAGGTAATTTGTTGATATCAGAGACAAGTTCTTCTTAGGGGGGTGCGTCTTTTTGGGTGAAAAGTGGGGAATCACTTTTGGAGGGGCCCGGACTCCTGTATTCATAAACTGGGGTTGATGATTTATGGGGTCAACACCACTTTTGTTTGTTTTCCCATCGGTTTTTCAAGGGAAACCAAACAGAAGACCGTTGCGCCATTCGCGTGGTCCCCTAAAAAAAGACATCCACATGTCAAGAAGCACCCTCCTTCAATCCAGATGTGAGGCAGCCTTGGAGTATGCCTTTACCCAAAACGACTAGCTGTTTTGTAGAGGCGTGGTGTGCTTCGCAAGAGAAGGCAAATCGTGTGCCGGTAGAACAACACGTTCCGCCATACTTAGCACGCTGACCATGCAACAGCTCACAGGTGTTGGTTCGTCCAAGTCTTCTGGTCAAAAAAAAAAAACATGACGCGCTCAGTGCTGGCAACTGTGCCGTTTCTTTGACTCGGTGCCAAGATGCGTGTGGGACCTGGCGATCCTGAGATGGACGGAATCGCACTCTGCGTGATCTTTTTTCGCTGATTGCCGTGGCTCGAAAACAGCTTGACAGTAGCGAGCTGTAAAGAACCATGTACCAGATCTGCCATCGTGCCACCATGTTTGCTGAAGGATGCTGCAGCAGCCTTTGCATTCGATCCCCTTGATGTATGGGGCTTATAACCGCGGGGTCATTTGTGTCGGCTTTCTGTCTTCTCAAGCCGAGCGGCAGGCGCTTTGGGCCTGAGCGGCAGTGAGCTTCTTCCATCTTGTTTTGCGGGCGAAATAATTTCTGGTTGTTTACTTCTGTGACATGTGGCTTGAAAGTACCAACCACAACCCCCTAGTGATTTCGGAAGAAGCAGAACCTGAAGTTGTTGGAAACCTAGCTAGGGTATAACCCACTTCTGAGTCCCCCGTTCAGTGGGGTTAACCTTGTTACAAGGGCGTGGGAACTGCTCCAAGTGGCGATCACGACTTAATTACTAACTTGGCAAGGAACATCCAAGTAGGGACCTCACAGCATAGTTGCTTGGACTTTTCGGCTTCTTATGGTAACCCCATGTAACCCCACTCAGGATTCCGGTTTCGCACATGCCCAACAGGACTGCAGCTTCTTTACTATTCTTTTCGTTTTGTTTTTTGTTGGACATAGTTTTCGGGAGCCGTATCCCCATGTTTTAAGGAGGCTCCCGCCTTTGTGGGACCCGTGTGCCCCGGGCGACCCACACGGAGCGGCGGCGCTCGCGGCTCGCCGCGGCATGGCGCGGATGCTCGCGCGGCTCGTCGGCTTCGAGGGGCCCGAGGCGCGGCTCGCAAAAGAAGCTGAGGGATGTTGGAGGGGAGGCGTGAGGGCCGCGAGTGGGAGCTTTCTGGAGGCCTTTGGAGTTTGGCGACGTTTTTTTTCCCCCTTTTTTTTTTAGTTAGTTTTTTTGGTCCCTGCCAAGAAAAAAAATACGATTTGTGGGTTGGTGGTGATTGGGGAATTTGGGGAATTTATGAGAAGATTTGGGTGTGTCTCTTCTTGCAAAGTTGGACCTTCTCCCCAAGACCCTGGTCCCCTTTCTGCGCGGTTGGGTTGGATGGTCTCGGTTGGGTGGTTTCCTTTCCATGGCCCCCGTTTGGTCTCCCTTTTGGTCTCCCTTTAGAACCACCTTTTGAATTTCGGCGTCCTTTTGATCGGTTGGTTTAGTTAGGAATAGATGGGTTCGGCTGGTTTAGACGTTGGTTTTCTGAACCATTTGCCAGGGAAAACACACACCGATTTTTCCCGAAGGCCATCTGTGGTTTCAAACAAATTTGGGTGTGCCTATGGGCGGGTTTCCTTTAGGCGTTCGGCTCAGGGCCTTCATGGGGCGCGATCTATGCTGATGATGCCAATGAGATGTGCCATGAGTAGCTGCTATGCACAAACAAGTTCATTGTCTTCCTCCCTTCCTTCCTTTCTTGTTTGCTTCCTTGCTTGCTTCCTTGCTTGCTTGCTTGCTTGCTTGCTTGCTTGCTTGCTGCTCTTCTGCCGATGTCTTCCCCTTCCTTCCGCTTGCTTCCTCCCGTCAGGACAGCCTTGCGGAGCGCTTGGCTTTTCAGGAGGAGGACGAGTCGCTACTCGGAGCCGGGTTTGGCGGGGAGCTTGGCGCCACAGAAAGGGGGGGAGCCTGGCTCGGCAGGAATGGGTCTGTCTTTTTTTGTGGGAACCCGCTTGGAGACTCATAACCATGGCTTTGGTGGCTTACAATCGGGCTTGCTAACCACTTACTATGTACCATGCCCCTTTAAACAAGGGTTTGGCTTTCAATTGGCATGTGGGATGTGTAGTTTCTTTCGAGGGGAGTTCCGCGGTATCTGAGCTATGCCATTTGTCATGGCTTTTATTGGATCCTGTTTCCGTTGGTGAGAGAATCCCTGTTCTGATCAGTTGGGCCATTTGTGTTGGCTGTTATTGGATCCTTTTTTCCGTCAAGATTCCGTAGGTGACAGCTCGAACACTCGAGCGTCCCTGTCCAGTGTGGAACCTCGGCCTCGCTCACCTCTCAGGTATCTATTGAGCTGCTTGTGCCTTCTGCACCCGGCTATAGTCCCCGAACCGCGAGATGTTGTGCCCTCATACGCAGCCACATAGGCCAATGCTCCACACCACCAAGAGAAAAGCAGATTCAGAAGTCCCTGCGGGTGTCTCATCTAAGATTGGAGATGTTCAAGGATGGGTGGAGTTTTCCTTTCAACGACGTCTAGGTTTTCCAGTAGTGCCCTTTATTTTTGGGGGAGGGTTCCCCTACTAAAATAGACTACAGGAAAAAATGGTACCCTTATTCTAACCTCTCAAATCTGAAGGACCTCCACTGTTTCAACGGATGCAGAGAGGGGCTCTGGGGCCTCGCTCGCCGGAGGCTGGCGGCGGAGTTGGTGACCTGTCTGCAGGGCGGCGAACTCGCGGAGGTGCAGGCGCTAAGGGCGTTGGCGGCTTGGCGTGGAGGGGGGGGGGGGGTGGGGTGGAGGGGGGGTGGAGGGTGGGTGGAGGGTGGGTGGGGGGGCGGGGGGTGGAGGTGGGGGTGGGGTGGAGGGCTGGAGCACTTTTTTCTTACGCTTTCTCCTTCGGCCTGGAAAGCCCTGACTCCCCCAAAAAATGGAATTGCCAAATGGGAATAGGCCCTCTCTTAGTACAAAAGAGGCCGCCAGGGTGATGCGCGTTGCTTTGTCTACTTTGGTGGGCCCAAACGTTTGACCAAGCTCAGGAGTCGGGGCCCACTTTGAGGTTCCGTTTCACCAGTGGAGGATTCACCAGACTCACAATGAAGCCACGAGCCGCAGGTTGTCCTTTCCATTCGGGCCTTTGGGGGTTGCCCCTTTCGCCTTTCGCCAGCCCCTCCTCTTCCGCGAGGTTCGGATCCTTGGAACCTTGGCCGGCGACGCCACAGGAGCGGGGCCAGGGGGGGCATGGGGGGCATGGGGGGCATGGGGGGGCCATGGGGGGGCCATGGCCAGGCCGTGGCCACTTCGATCGGAAGATTCGCAACCCAAGTTGCCGGGTTGCGGTGTTTTTTCTCCTTTTTTCTTCTTTTCGTTGCTGGTGGTGTTTGGTTTGGTTTTGAAACCATGGATTTCCTGGCAGCACTTGAGCACCCGAGCCGGAGCACCATTGACGGATTCTTGGCGCAAGTGTGGCAACATGCAAACACAGCACCGAAGAGCCGAGCAGAGCGATGCTGAAGATTGGAAGCGCTTAAGATGTCTCATGCGGTGCACCATGGATGTCGACTCCCTGTCTAGCCCCTGGCTGGTTGGTTGGTCGGTCGGGCGGTTGCTTGGTTGGTTGGCTGGCTGGTTGCCTGGGTTGGTCAAGCACTGGACTTTGACTTTTTGGGAAACAGAGGATTTTCCATTGGACCGACAAAAGTTACACTTTTGACAGAGTGACAACAGCAACCAAGCATTGGCCGGTCTTTTTCGATTCACGGAGCGCCCAAGGCCGGACAAAAACTTGTTTGCATGCAAGGGAAAGCCGGACGCCATATCTTTGTCGGTTTGCTGCGTTTCGTAGTTTCAAGTCCTGCGGCCCGCCCTTCCTTGGTCGTCCCATTCGCTTGGTTTGCCAGGCGACACGACGCCAGATACCAGCTCCTCGGGATCCCGGTTGGCGCAAGCCATACGGAGCGAGGCAAAAGGGGGCGGGGCATGCTTTTCAGACGTCACAACGGGGGACAGATAGCTCGGTGGCCGATGAAGTCATCGGTGGCCGTCGGAAGCGTTTGTCTTACAGACTGTTGCTGATGTGGCTGCAGCGTTCTTGCCTGCTGTGTAGGTCATGATGACTCCGCTAGTATATCAGCATATATCAGTCATACGCCCTAATTTGTTAATGTTGAAACGCATGTGGAAACATGAACTGTGTTGGCAATGCTTGACCATAATGGCACATGCCATTTTGGCTCAAGCTTTGCCCTGGGTTCTCTGAACCCAATTTGTGTGAAAAAATCTGAGTTTGAACACTTCCGAACTACCCCCGAACCAGCAATGGCTTCCTCGGCAACCTCGGCAACTTCCTTCGAGCTGATTGAGGACCAGAAGCTCACCGCGGAGGAGGTGGAAATGGCCAGCCAGGAGGCCCAGGAAATCCGCACACGCGAGGCGGCAGTGGCGGCTGGCCTGGTGTTGGACGAGCCCGAGGCCCCCCCGTCGGCTTCGGCTACCGACGTGATGAACGACCTCTCCAGTGCACTGGAGCGTCTCCGTGTGGCTTTCTCCACACCGACTTCCGGCTTGGGTGCCCCTGGCCCCGCCGAGGAGGAGGAC